TTTTTTTTTTATCCTAAATTGTGAAGATTATTCAAAAATCTGGTTTATGTCTTAGGAAAAAAAAATCCAAAAGGGGATGAAAGGTGTTAGGATACCTGAAAAAAAGCAAACAAACAAAGACTTGTTTCTGTTTACCTTTAGAAACATTTGGCCCATTTTTCTGTTCTGTCTGTAGAATAAAGAAAAACATGGCTGTAGAGAGCTTCCATCCCACCCATGACAGCCACACACAAAGCCCTGGCCTCAAGCTCCCTTTATTAAAACTGATCAAGAACAGGAGCCTGAGTGCTCGAGAGGAGCTGTGGAACTCTCAACAGCGATGTCATGATGGGCATCAGGTTGAGCAGCACTAGCAGCTATGCTGTGCCTGCAGGGACACTGCATGACACTTGTGCCACAGATGCAAGAGCTGGAAGTAACTGTGTAAGCCTTAAGGTTCAGACWTTTCTGGAGTCTGCCTAATATTCAAAGGCTGAATTATTGCAAGAGCAAGAAGGGATGAGGAAGGCATGCTAGAAGCGTCCTGAACATTAGCTAATGGTGGCCTGGCACAGCTCTGAATCGGACTGTGCAATGCCCTTCTGCATTTCCTGCAGTAGCAATCTTTACTAAAATTTGCAGAGTTTTTAGTTTTACCCTCAATGGAGAAAATGGTCATAGCGTGGGTATCTATATTCTTTCTGATTCTTCATAATCTTGTGATGAAATGCGAAGATTAAGAACTGAGAAAGACAGCAAGCAGGTGTTAATCAGTTGCTTAGAAAGCTGTCAGTTCTCAGCTTAAGTTACAGCCACTCAGCAGAAAGAGCTAGGGATGAACATGCACAGTCCTAGTCGGGTACAAGTTCAAATAAAACAGAAACTCTTAAGCTGACCCTTGCTTCATAACTAATGTCCTTCTAGGAAAAAAAAAATCTGTTGTTGGTTGTTTTTTATATGCTGATATTGTCTTCTCATATTTTTAAGGAAGATTTTCCTCAATAAAACCACAGTTTCTGGTCGATACTGATTTTCAAAAATGAGCAACCAGTCTAAATTCTGGTGTTTATTTTCTTCAAAACTTCTCTTTACTACTGAACACCAGAAAATGATTTTGCAAAGCTTTCTCTATTTTTTTCTCTTCTCCTCCTCCTCTGTGACTTCCTAAATCAGGAAGCATGATACAATGGCAAAATAAAACAAAGTGTAAGTACATATCTTAGGTTCTCCCAAGTATGCCATGAGCTTGTAAAAGTTATAGTGTAGAAAACTAAAAAGACTCTGTGTAAAAAAGACCCAGGAAAAGGAAAAATATACACTAATTGTACAATATCCATTCATTTTAATCAGCAGACAAGAAGATAAACAAAAATTAAWTTAAAAATGTTCAATTGGGGTGTGTATGTGTGTGTACATATGTGTGTGTGCATTTACGTATAGATATAGATATCACACAGGATAGATTTAAATTCTACTTTAAATCTATGAATATTGTTGAAAATTCCAACATTAGCAAAAAAAATGATGTTGYTATTTTACATCTAAGCTTTTCTGTTTCTCAGTGCTCCTTCACCAGTTTCTTCATGGTTACTTTCTAGCTTCTCAGATCAACCACCATCCCACTACTCTTGCGTTGCTCTACAGAGATGCAAGACATTTGACCAAAAACACTTTGAGGAGGACTCTTGAGCACTGCATTGATCAACTATCAAAAAACAACCTCCTCAAATGATTTATTAAAATTTACTGTGTGTTTGGAGTATAGTAGGTAAATCTCCTCGGTCACTTCAGAATAGCTAATCTGTGTGATAGTTTCAAACAGATTTGATATTATGGGTGGTGGTGGTAAAAATAGTTTCTGCTTAGAGAAGATAGTGATTCTTTGCCACATCCTGCTTCTAAGTCAAGTTGATTTGACTGTGAGTGTATATGGCCTAATATTGTTGTCAGCTATGTCTTTTCCCCAGCATACCAAAAAAAAAAAAAAAAAAAAGCCTTAAAAAGCCAAAAGAAAGCCAAAAAAGGTCTTTAAAGGCCCCCTCCCCCCCAAACAAACAAACAAACAAACAAAAACCCACCAGGCTTAAATGCTTAGTCATTTATGGATGATTTAAACTGAATCAGACACTACAGACTTAAACAGTAAAAAGCCTCTCCCTCTGCTCCTCTGCTCTGCCCAAAGGGGCAGACCGTAACTCCTTCCATCATTACTGACATGAACCCAGCTTTTCTATAAATGACTCCTATAGCAAGAAAAGCCATTTATGGACATCAGATGACATTACTCTTACAAACAACTTACAAAAGTGAGCACAGCTAATAAATATTAAGCCAGTAAGTTACCTGACAAAAGACAAGTCCAGGGGACAGTTTGATGAGGAAAGGACTCTGCAAGTGAGACGTGACCATCTCGGTGTTCCTCTGTTGTGAGCCAGCAAAGTAAATGTATGCTCCTATAAGAAAAATTGGAGAAATGTGTCCAGTGGCCAACAGTCATCTGAGAAAATTAATTCTCTCTTAAGGGCCTTCTCAAGCATATGGACTTTATTCATACTTCTAAGCACGTGGAACAGCAAMCCTTTCAATTCAACATCGGTAGGTTCAGGTCATCCTCTCTAGGGGGATGTTGCAATAGACTGTGACAATCTGWATGTTTGTAGGTAAGAGACCAAATACATTTGCTAAATGCTTCTGCTGTTCCTCCCCATAAAAATTAATACTCTCTCTGTCCAAAGACAAGGAAATAAGCAAGAAACAGGTGTTTGACAGCTCAGCTAGTAATTGCTAGGGCTGTCCTGTCCTGGTGCTTGCAAGCACTTAAAGCTGAGGAAATACATACAGAGCACTGCATAACAAGGTCAAATGCTTCTGCTAGAAGGGCTTTACTGTGCAGAACATATCCCACTGGATGTATTCATTCATTTAATCTCTTCAGGCAAAAGTCTTAAGACCTCAGTCCTCCAAGCATGAATATTACCTCCCATCCCCTCTGCATTCTCTGCCTCTCAACTCCCAACCATGGTATATGAGCTGGAGCACACAGCGCCCAGGAGATCAACCAACACAGACCTCAGCTGGGCTCCTGAAAAGACAAAATCTAATTGGCTTAAATAGCATCACAAGTAGAATTTAGAATTAAAATTAATTTCCTTTAAGGTACAGTATTTGCTTGCAGCACAGCACAACTGATTTTAAGCATCCTAACAACGCTACAAATCATAGGAGCCAATGGAAAAAGCTGTGTTTTCTCATGGGGTGCACAGGCTTGACATTGTTGTCTGTGCTAGTGGGGATGAAAGCTTAATTAAAGATCTAATCTGAACTCTGGCAAACGAATTGCCTTTGGATTTGAACTACAGCAGATGTGCTTCAGACAAAGGTAGGAAAGGATAAAAATCTTCAAGGGGCTCTAAAGCAGCATATTTTGAATGTTGTCAGTGCTGCCTTCACTGAATACTGAGACTTTTTCATGAAACTCTATGCAAAATAACACTAAAAGCTCAGTCTTATTTGCACATTGATATTACACTTATTGCCATATGTATTGGAAAATCAGCTATTGTGCTGCCACGGCTTTACTTCTTAGCCATTTATTTCCCATGGATACATGGATAGTGAAGTGAAGGATTAAGTCCAGCTCTGAGTGAATAATTACATAGATTTACCAAGACTGGTACAAAGAGGTGACCATTAGAGCATCTTGTAAAAGAGGCATGCTGCACTCTGCAGCGCAAGGGCAGCTCCCCTTGTTGGAATGCAAGAGTACTTCAGAGGAGATACTCTTTTAATTTGCATCTGAAGCTCTACAATAACCTTGTTAAAATCTTCATTATTTAGAGTTTGCTACCATCCTCCCCAGGACAGAAGAGACATGAATATTCTGCAATATAACAAGCTAGTGCTGCAAGGTGAAAGACCGTATCTTTGATTTAATGTGGGCAAAACCTTGCTAAAAAATCTCATTCCCATTCTTTAAAGAGAGTAACTAGCAAATAGGGGATTTAAAAGATGTGACATGGGTGACAGACCTTTGCACCAATTTGTGTGTGTGTGTGACTACATTATTTTCATGTTGTGGTAGAGCTATAAATTAATTTATAGAGTAGCTTATTGGAGATACTACAATCTGCATCCTACCACTCTGTATTACAGAGATAAAAATCTAATTTGAAATTAGTTGGTTCAGGTTGGTTCAGAGCAGCTTAAGTGCAGAAGCTCATAGATCAGTGTAACAAATGACTCTTCATACAGCCTTCAATGACCGACCATACTACACCTCAGACCTCTTCAGGACACGCAGTAATCAATGTGGAAAAGATATATTATAGGGCCCTTCTCCATAGCTGTAAGTATTTGGAAGCTGGGACCTTCAGTTCTCTACTAAGAGGGAATGCAGTTTGAAGGGAATCGGTAAGGCATAACCAGTGCCATTCACTTTAGAGTGACAACAAAATGAGGTATAAAATAGCTAATTAAGTTGTGACCAGCAACTATTTGGTACACTTCACTTGAAGACTAATGGAAAAGATGGTATATAATCATGCAGTTATAGTTAAGATATAACATACACCTGCATATTCAAACTTCTACACATTTACTCTGGAAAGTTTCAGTACTGGAATTTCTTTAACTCTGAATATTTGTGGTGCAATGATTATATTTCATATTTCATTAAGGAAAGCATATGAGATCTGGTTGTGACATAATATATACCATTCTAAAAAATTCTTCAGATCCTTGTCCTACTGAAAGAGATATGGGATTGTAATCCAGATTTTAAAGCAATGTTGTGGAAGAAGCAGAATAAATATATTTTAATAAATGAAAATCATAGAATATTTGTCACTATTATTTGACAATGAAAAATATGCTAGACTGTTTAAGTGTTAAATAGCACATCATAATATAATTTTCATTCTGGAAAAAAAAATCAACCAACTCTCTGTTGGAATCATCTTTTATCAGTGGAATGCATTTTATAGTAATTATGGGCTTGTAGTGGAATAACTGTTCAAAGGATATGACACTTGCTCTGTTTGTCGTGGACAAAACTGATAAATTTATCTGTAGTCTACAGAAAACTGCTGTGAAAATTTCATCCAATTATGTTTTCAAGAGTGACAACTGAGTGATACAAAAGTGTTTATTCTATACATGAACAAAGTTGGCTATGCCAGGTCAATCAGCAGTATCTGAAGAAACTGAAAGCAGCATCAAATCTCACACCTCACTGATGTCTCAGCAAAAAGTCATGGCTACAAAGGCACAGAAATCTAAGAAAGTGTGGAGCTGAAAGACTAGCTACCTATGTTATGTATTATGTATTTATTTAGTATAATTTTTTAAATTCATCAGTCTGTTTTCTTTTTACAATGAATGAATACTCATCAAGAAGGAGAAGAAGAAGAATACAAAAAAACCTCACCATGTCCTGCATTAGTGGTATGATCTCTGTCAGGAAGTTTTGTGTCAAGAAGAGCTTGTCCTGTTGTTATATTCCACTCAGCATCAGATGTACTTAACGGCTTCCATCCACAGAAGTCAGTCTCAAAATTACACATAGTATAGTTAGCTATTGTGAGAACAGTACGAGATCATTGAGTTTCATGCAACAATTTCATGCCAAAACTATCGACAAGTTACATTTGGATGTAAAAGGAGATTTATCAAAGAATAAGTGGTATGTTTCATTGAAATCTCTATCACTCAGATAGGAAAAAAAAAGTTTAGAAAAACATGTAACAGGTCAAGCAAGCCTTTGCATTCTTAATCATCCATCTCAGAACTGTAACAAAAAACATCTGTAAAAGAACTATAGCTATATAACTGATAAAGTTAAGGCCTGAAGATAAGCTCCCAATAGTTGGTGAATTTGGAGTTACATATTTTACTGGAAAGTTAATCATGAATATAGGGTAAAAATTCAACTATGTCTAGTGTGTGACTGATAATAAAGATAAATTAAGTGTACGGTTATGTTATTTTTGAAATGAGATTGAAATTTATTATTTTCTTAGGGTTTATGGAAATCTTTGTTGACATGTAATACGTGACACAAATGCAATCATATTTTCCCAGTAGATGTAGAGTAGACCAACATATGTTTTAGAACACTATCACATTTTATTTCTTTTCTTGAGCTGAATTARGTATTTTGATAATAAAATAGTCTATGTAAGTTTTATTTCTTAGTCCAGAAAAGCTTCACCAAGTTCTGCACTTAATTCTTTGGGTGACTTACTACAATTGTAAAAAGTACTTTGGAGCTGTACATAGAGGTCTCCAGACCTCATTGCACATTTATCCTTTTATAGCAGCCTCAGACATGCTTTTGTACGTACTACTGCACGTACTACTGCAATTTTCAGATTTTACAGATACAAAATGAAATGCAGCTTTCCTGAAGCACCAGAGTAGTTATATTCTGTAATAATATTCCTTTCTGTTAAAAAGAGGTTATTCAAGCCATTAAATCTCAAGGTATAAAATAAATTATAATATCAGTATCTCTTAAGTAGATTCACTATATAACATTAAAATTCAATGAAGTATGCTTTTTCTTATTTAGTGCAGTGTATTAGTCAAACATAAAACTTATTTAACTTATTTAATTACAGAATGCTTTAGCTTTTGACAAGATATCTTTTTAATTAGACTTCAACTGGTAATACATTAAGGTAGAATATGCAAATTGATAAGCAAGTCTAAGCTTTTTCACTGTAAGCTAATTAAATACAATATCTAGGCATTTTACTACAGTCTTTACATAAACAATGTGACACAGAACAAGGAATATTCTTTGCTTAAATATCCCTCTCCTCTGGCCTCCTTGAACCCTGCATACAATGTTGACTGAAGAGAATGCATAGTAATATCCAAAAAGATATCAATAAGTGGCCATGCAGGTATAAGGAACTTATTCCGTTACACGCTAACACATCAAAGGCCCGTCATTAGAAGGGAAACCAGGCCAAAGTCAAAATAACTATTTAAATCTGAAAGAGAAATTGAGATAGCACCTAACAATTAATTCATATTTAATAGATCAATAATGTATCTTGGTGTGTTAGCACTGATCTGCTATCATTTAATCTGTCTCAGTGCCAGGTTAGTGAAAAGTTGACCGATTGAAGTATATTTAAAATTATATACTATTAAAGTAGGTAAAGCAGCAGGAATCTGCTAAGGACAACTATCTTTGACAGTTATCAGAAAGGGGAAGTATGGTGACACAATCATCTCCCAAACTGACAGTTAATAGTGCAAATTTTCAGCATGATTTTTTTGCTGGGGGATGATTCTAGGTTCTTTTCCGTAACAGCACTTACTAACTCACTTAGGGTTAACATCATCACTACTTTGTCAACTAACAGATCATTTGAACAATACCAAGAATAGATGTGAACCCTTTATGATTGTGTAGAGGCACTAACATCATTGTGCTCACATCACGGAAGCCAAAACACATAAAGAAGGAAAACTGCCCACACTACACTGACACAGGSACGCCCACAACCATGGCAAACTGCAGAAAGTCTTGCGGAAGGCTCTGTGGAGATGGTGACAATTGAAAATATGGCTCTAACTTGCTATAAAGAATTTCTTAGTCTGAAGACTAGTCTTAGGCTATGCCCGAGTTGTGAGTTGGTTCTCAAGTGAACTGAGAAGTGTTTGTTTCATGTTGTTGAAGTCCAAAATTATAACGAAAATATCCTGCTATAGTTGAGACCATTAACATTTATATTGCTGAAAACCACCGAAAGCTTAGCTGGAAAACTGCTCTAGGCTAAAAAGAAGGGTAAAGTCTGAAAGGTATGTACCACGAATGGACCTCATTCATAATTTGAACTATCACTGTCCCTCGTTGCCCTAAAATATTCTTTAAACATTTGGTATTTAATATACACAGTATGGCTACTTTGTCAKAAAGGTGTAAGATGAAACTGAAGATTCACTTTTATCTAGTTGTAGGCTGATGGAGAGGAAGAGTCAAAAATACATCTTCATTTATGTTCATAATTATGTTAGGGACAACAAATATATTCAGCAAGTAAGATACAATCTCCACGCATATTGCCACTCCATTTTCACCATCCAGGTAGGGATTTCAAACTTTTGATCCTCAACTTTAGGCAAATCCTGAATAAAATGTAGGGATATATTTAGAAATTGTTATTTTAGGAGTTTTRTTTCTTTCCAAAAGATCAGTATATCTCATTGTTGTTGCACCTCCTGGCTGTCAAATGGCAAGCAATCAAAAATGACCCCACAACACCAAAAGAGGCAGATTAGAAAGAATGAGTGCAGAATGAAAAAGAAAACAAAAATAACAACAACAACAACAAACCTGATAGAAGCTGATGGAATGCATAGCCATTAGTATAAATTGTAGACAAAACCGGTAGTTTCTTATGAGTTCCCAAGATGATCATCTAAAATTAATTATTCACCTGTAAATCCATTTTACAGTTTACTTTCTCAGATTTTATATATGTCTCTGTGTGTGTTTGCTTATTTATGCATGTGTAAAGTTTCTTCGATGCMCTGTTTGAGACTAAAAGCTAAAGGAAAAATCCACATAAAGATTTTACTGATTGTAAAATACTGTTGTACATTTTAAAAAACAGAAATGAAAAGTTTAATGGGCAAATTCTAGGGAGTTCATGCTTTGCACAAAAAAACTTCAAATTTGCCTGTAGCTGAATTTTGTGCAAGCCTTATGTCTTTGAAGATCTTAACGAAAATTCACTTTAAGTTGAAGTCATAAACATCAGTGARGTTACAGTGAGTTTCTTTTGTAAAGGTAATGGTGGTTTTCAGAACTACAAAAATGTTTTTAAGATTTTATTCTTCCCCCTTTCACTGAGCAGGAATCCAAGTTTTGACACTTGCCATTTGTTAAGACACTTTAAACAAAAGAAAACAAAAAGTGAATATGTATTCCTTTTGTTTTATTTCTCGATATAGTATGCTTCCTTGTTATGTCATCAAATCTAGAGTTCACATCCAGAAGCCTTGCTCCATTTCTTCTTCTGTGGATAATACTGAGCCAGATTTTTCTGTCACTTCAGTTTTAGAAAGAAAAAAGTATAAATATGGTCTGATTGTTGGAAGACATATTCAATGCAGAGAGACATGCACACACAGAAAAAAAAATTCAAAATCATGCTACTTAACCCAATCACTTTTTCTATGACCGATCAAGTCTGAACATAACTACAAAGGCACAGAGAACACTCACGGTGTTGTTTTCTGAAGAAAACAAATTCCAGCTCTAGATAAGTACGTGCAATAATGCCAACAACAAATTTTAGATGATACTTTTTCATTGAACTTGCATTTTTAAAGACACAAACTCTACAGAAACATCTAGGAATCCAGGCAGAGAAACTAAGCAAAAGGCATTTGCCAATTCCAAACATAAGTAGTTTATGGAAATAAATTTAAGTTCTACCATAAACCGTTTGTGGAAATTAATATGGAAATGAAATATTCATGTTAATAAACAAAAATTTAATAAAGTATTAATATGTTAGGAACAGCTAAGCTGTAAATGCAAGTGAAACCCAATTGCCTGAGTTAAGAGCTTGACTTTAATTTTATACCTTCTTGATTCTAAAAGCTAAAGAGCACTTGCAAATATTTAATCAAAGTTCAAAAAAAACTACACTTAATTTGACACTCAAATCCAAGTCTCAGCATATTTTTCCACTGCTTAAACATTTCCTATCAAAACAATGCATAACTTTCATTATAAATATCCCTTTTTAATATTTTTATTTGGACCTTCATGTGATTATAGGGAATGTATCAACATTGATAGTTGGAAAATAAGTGACAACTCAATTTACATTTTCTGAGAAGTTGTACTTCGGTTATGTAAGTTACACAGATGGGAAAGCATGTTCTGGGTACATTATGTTCCTCTCTATTGCCTCTCTTACCATCGTGGCTTATGTTGTTTATTTCCTGTGAAGATTTCCCTGGATTCAAACTGCAGAAAGATATTCCACATTCTGCAAACAAAATTAGTGATGCCTCATTTTTGGGCATGCGTCTATTTGTAGTTCGGCAAAAGACAAAGAAAAATAAAGACAACCACTTGTTTTCTTCTTAAAGACAAGCCAAATGAGTAATCTATTTTTTTTTCTTGTGGGTGTATTAACACTTTTCAATTAGTTAAGGATTAAATTATTATTCCAGTTCTGCAAACAATGTCAGTGGGATGTAATCAGAACAAAACTCAGCTACTTCAATTTCAAGAAATAAACATACACTAAAAAACATAAATTGGTGTGAAACACATTACCACATTTTCTGAAATAAACAGCAAATAAATTCTGAAATAAACAGTAAACTCCAAGAATTCTATGTCTAGTTCATTCTACCTATACAGCTCTGACCTTATGGGGAAAAGCAGTATACAGTCAGCCAACCASTTAACATCAACTTTCCTAGTTTCAGCTGTGTGACGCTTTTTAATCCTACTCTGGTTTACTTGATCAAGTAAACGCGACTGAAAACACACACCTCTTTTTCCATCAGATGCCATTGGTGCTTCATTGAGTCTTGGCTCTGAATTAATTAGAGGTGCCATCTTCATCACGGCACCAAAGACGGTCAACAAAGTGCTACAACATCGTTACACATCGTTGTTACACATATACCTTTGTACCTGACGTTTCCAATCAGTTTGTGGAAAYGGTTGTGGATTAACTGATTATTATTTACCTAGACTTTATTAATGGGTTCACACAGAAAGATCACAAATGACCCTAGGTAACCTCACCTGCATTTATGTCATAGGTTACCAGAGGTAACTCTCAAACTACTGTAATACCTCAAACCTCAAATATCTCAAATATCTCAAACCACTGTTATATCTCAGGTGAACTGTCCTTACCTCCCTCTAGAACTTCTCACTTTTCTTAAGGTTAAAGGACTAATCATTTTAAGATAATCTCATGCCAACACTGGGTGTGTAGAGAGCAATCTTACTTGACACCACGGCAAACAAAGCAAAACGTTTCTTTTCATCAAAAAAATTATTTTAAGAAAGAGACTAGAATTCTATACCCAAAGAATCTTCTTCATTATGAAGTTGTTAATCTTCCCTCTTTTGAATCACTGAGCTATGGCTGAATTAATCAAAAATAGTTTAAATCTTTTAAAGTGCACATATTTTAGTAAATATTTTAGGAACCCTAAAAGAGGTTGATATCTTGCTGACCTTTTCTTACTCTATAAATGCAATCACATTACCATTGTCATGCCAGTTGTGAACAAAAATTATCTCAGTCTTTGTCAAAACTATGAGAGTGAAACACAAAGTTGGTACTATGAGGTGTTGAACAGCAATGAAGATTTTAAGCATGAAGATTCTGAAAATTCCAGGAAAACATGGATTCAGCTTTGTTTTYTCTGTGTGTACATACAAGATTGATGGACAAATACTGGCAAACCCCCCAAATTAATGTATCACAGGAATTATATACATACTAAAACAAACGACTCACCCTCAGAAAAATGCTACTTTACCTTGAATGGTAGCAAAGCAATCTGTATAAATGCTTTAGCAATTTTCAAGGACAAAACCCTATACAGCTATAAAAGGAACTCATTTTTTAATCATTCATATTTACTTGGTTCAACATATTTTCTATTCAAACAGATATAAGCCTCAGATAGACTGATATCTGATATATAATATCTGATGTGCCATTGGAAATGCAGAAGGAAAATAGATAGACTGAAGACAGGTGTTTTAAGGAAGTTTTTAATTATACTTAATCAGAGGAAGGTGATACTCTTTAAGAAATAGCTGTGGGTTGTTGCACACCAAAATTATTTTGGATCTCAATGCAGTGCTTGTRAGCAGAAAGAATACTACAAGCATCAAATTACTTGAAAACAGCAAGTGCTTCCTAGAATTCTTGTCAAGTAGCTAGGAATCCTAGCTAGTGATTCATTTGAAATGCTTATTATATACATGTTRCTATAAATAATAATAACAATAAGCATAAAACTTGATGTTTTCATCATTTGGCATGCCATTTATTAAAAAAAAAAAAGTTCCTTTATGTTAGACATGGAAAAAAAAAAGAAACATCAACATGAAAGGGTTTATCTTTCATATGATCTAAGAAGTATATTTCATTCTCTCCATTTTGAATAAATTAACTAGGATTTGATTATTTATTAGCCTTCATWGTGAACTAAGAAATTTAGAAATGATTTCAGAAAAGCGATATCAAATAAGATATAATAAAATTATAGAATTTAATAGTAAAATCATTAATTTAGCTGTCTACTCATTTCTTTAAATCCACTGATTTCAATGACAGTACTCAAGCAAGGAGTTATGCATATGCATGTTTTCAAGCAAATTTCCCTATTTTTCAAAGACTTTTCAGTTCTTATATGTTTATATTTATATGCCCAAATAAATGTGCAGAGACTAAACAYAAAGAAGCATTCTAAAACACATCTATTTGTTCTGGTAATGAATTGCATTTTTATAGGATCATTCACGTTAAGTTAACATGAAGAAAAACATTGTTTTTCCTTCCTGTTTTAATGATGCAAAGAAACTCCTCAAAGAACAGGAAGATCTTTCACATCACTGAGTAACACCTGCCTGTCTGGTTTTTTTGCTCTGTATGATGGGAGTACTTCAGCAAAGGAAACTACAAGGATGTGTCAAAAGACAGATGCCAAAATCCATTAAAAATCATAGGCCAAAATATGCACTACTGAATCAGAAATTAATTTTTGCTTGAAATTATTGAAAAAAAAAAAAAGTGGTGTGCTTAAAATATTTGGAGGACAATTCCAAAAAATTAGAAAACATATGTAGGAATTGGAAAATATTTGTAGTGGGAGAAAAGGTTGAAGACCTTTGACACAAGTAAAGAACACTTCATACTTTAGGTCCTTCTTGTTCTGTTTGCAGAAACTGTCAGAAAGATKAATTTTCTAAGCAGACAAAACTGCTGAAGAGCCAAACTTCACCCTTAGGGTTATCTTTTCAAGAAAGGATTCTATGAGTTTAGATATCCAAGAGATATCCAACATAATATTAGCTATTAAAATGTACAAATTTTTAAAATAATCTCTAGTATTTTAAATGTACTTATTTTTGCCCTTCTTAGCCAGCAGTCACTGGAGTAGCACAGGAGCTACTATGATGCTATGCAGTGAAAACAAAGAAAATTTTACACACACTGGGGCTCCCATTAGTCCCACAACACCCCAATTCCAGTGCTGCCATAAAACACAGCTTTGAGACCTCGAGGCTATTTAACTTTTCCCTGGTGACCTTTCTTCTGCCTGCTTTCTAGTTTTTCTGACTCTTCCATATGGACATGAAGGAAGCAACATTCCCAAGAGTAAGTTCCAAGTTCTTGCTTTTACATTACTATTCTGAGGGTATATCTAGCCTACTTGCTTCTCATTCAATTGCAGAATGATAATRTCCAGTGTCTGAGGCACATAAGTAAAATTGAGGAAGTGTAATATTGCAAAACCTTGTTTGCAATATAATAGCAAAAAAATATATCTGTGTTTAAGGTTACTTTTATTTTCACTTTGCACAATAACTGTTACTCCTCAACAAAGACAACTAATTTTCATCTTTTTAAATATCACTGAAAAATAAAATTCAGTGTATAAAGTACTATTCACTTTCTTTCCGTTTCTCTTCCTAAACAAATGAGAGAATTCTCCATACTCCTACCAGCAAACACACAGAGTTGGGAGAATAGGATCAACTACTGTGAAAATGAAAAATACATCTCAAACAGGAAAATTCTATAGATGTTATTACAYTGATGTAGATGTTCTACATGATGGCTGAGATTCCACCCAGAGGTAAAACAATATAAACCTTCCTATTTAAAATGATCGTTCAGTATTATCTGCTCATATCTGCTTATATTATCTGCTTCAGAGATGGCTCCTGCATAACTGTATAAGTGATTGAAAAGATTAAAGGTTCAGACTGCAAGGTAAAATATATATATATATATATATATAATCAAAATGAGTTCTTACATTTTTTTCTTTTTTCTTTTTTTTTTAATTATCATTGTCCTAAATCCTGCTACTTTTAGTGCATAGAATGTTTTGATTTGCCCCTCCCAGCAGCAATATATATCATTAATGGCATCTAAAGTATGTGCAGTTTTTATCTGCAAAGTACATTTTAGGCTCAGAGTGCTGCTGCCACTGGCAAATACACACACAGATGCATGCCATACAATATTCATTCTAGAAGCACAGCAGCTCTAAAATTACTTTCACATAAGAGGGCTCAAAGAATTCAGAACAGACATCTTCCAGTAATCTTTTTTTTTTTTATTGCATTGTTGAAGACAAGGCTTCTGAGCAACCTTCTAATAAAAACAATATGGCTAGATACAGCTCCTGAACTATACTTGTCACTATATTAATATTACTTTATAACAAGTTTATGGGAAATATATCATAAATGCATTTTCTYGCATTAGCTCATACACTGTCTAAATTAGAGAAGTATTCAAACAACAAATCTCAAGGCAGATTTCGATCTCAAAACTAGAGAAGTATGGGTTACAAGCATGATTTGCAAGGAATATACTTACAGAAAAAATATCCATAATTTTGTGCTTCTGCAGATACTTAAAAAATGAGGATCTGGATCCAAAGTATATTGCTACAGCCCGAAAGTTAGAAATAGAAAGAAGTGGAAAGAAGGAAAATACAGGATAGTAGAATGTGCTATGAACATTGTTATGCTACTGTATATCATTAAAATCCAGGAACAAAGCTGTCTAAATAATAATTGTATTTTTTTGAGCCATTTCTTGAATACGTCTTGTTAAGTTTTGCAACCTAATCCTAAGCATCGCGTCTTCCTAAAGCAGTGATGTGATTTACTTACAGCAGGTTGCTGGAGCCTCATCACTTCCATCRGAACAGTCTGGGTGGGAGTCACAGGCTGATCCTCGGTTGATAGATTGGCCATCGGTGCAGATGAACTCMTCTGAGGACCAGAAGCCTGGTAATGCTGGTTGCATAGTGTCCATGAGCTGGATGYTGTTCATACAGATAAAACCTGCTCTGCTCGGAACTGCTCCTTCAAAYGTAAGCTGCAGGTTGTTAAAATACTTGCATTAACAAACAAGAGAAAAAAAGTGATTTTKGTTCCACTGAGAATGCACTAGAAAGATTCAATGGCAAAGCTCTTATAATAATGCCAAATTTGAGGTTGGAAGCTGAAATTTTGTATGCCTACCTCAGGTTGAACTTTTAAAAGAATTTCTGCTAAAATGTTTCAACAAGTGCTGAGAGTGAAGTAAAAGAAAAGTCTGTTGTAAAGAAAAACACCACAACTCATAACCATTTGGGTAAAAGCTGTAATGGCTCTATGCTCTGGAGGAAGTTCTTAAAATTTAGTATCAAAAAGAACTCTTTAAGATTTTCTTGAATCTTGAAACTCTTTTGAAAGGACTTTAAAAATGTTTCAAACTCTCATCTTGCATATTCTGAAAGAAAAAATGTAATTGTACTCATACAGGTAAATAAAATGGACTGGGAGCTTTCCCTGTGTGTCAATTGGCACAGCATAGCTCAACAACTAATCATTCTTTAACTATATAAGCTAAGGTGGCTGCATCCAATCCACCACCTGGCAATAGTCCTTGCCTCCTGTTAACTCTCGTTCTGTTGCAGGCACTGTCTGGGAGACAGCCAGTTTCCTTGAGTCAAAATCTCACTAGGGATCATACTAATGCTTTAATTGTATGGGTTATCACATGACACTTCTTGTGCCTTGCCCTGGTCCTGTTCATTTTACTGCTATTGACACAGGCATAGAGATTCAAGAGGCATTTCCCATTCCCACACAGTTCCCTTAGGCAGCTTGGATTTTCCACAGTAGTTCCAAAAAAGTAGGATTTTAGAAGAACATGTCTTGCTCCCAGCCATTGTGGCTCCCAGCATTTCTGTGTCTGAAGGCAAGGAGATTATCCCACTTGTGCTTTCCAGGTTTCTTTTTTCTGAATAAAGTATCAAAGAGGACGAAGCAGGCCTAAGTCTGCTTCACAGGGAAGGTGAAAATGGGAATGATTAACGAGGACTGAAAGATAAGAACAGGATTTAGAGGCACAGATCAAAAAAGGGCTGTAGGATGTCTTCCTGACAGATCAGGGTATAAGATGGGAAGCTAGGAAAGAAATTGTGCAGAAGACATAGCTAAAGGAAAGGGGAGCTGGACAACAGTTTCAGACAAAATGGAAGGAAACTAGAACAGACATGGCTCGAGGCACAAGCAGAAGACAGTAATATGCTCCCCAAACCTCAAAATTACATTGGAGTGCATTCCTAAGAGGTGTTTGCTTTTAATAAGAATGATAAATGTCACTATCTTCCACTAGTGACAATTCCTTCAAAATGACAAATGCTGTAAGTTCTCCACTAGCTCAAATGGCAGAATGTTATGGTGAAAATATTACATAGTCATGTAATCAAAGACAGCATCCTTCCTTGCCCAAGTCAAAGTGATCCATACTGTCTCTGTACAAGAAAGCTCAACTTGGTTACTTTTTAATGGAACCACAGCACCCTTTTGTTTGCTTATTTTTATTTTAATRGATAATATTACACATATCTAGTTCTTCATTTACCCTTTTCATTACGTGAAATCAGAAGAGATGGGACATAACAGATACTTGCAATCTACTGCTATGATGAAATAGCATTCCAATATGTCAGACTGTCAATATCTGTAATGAGTTTATTTTTTGTACTTTTACATAGGTTACTTTTTCAGCTGTCTATTGAGACAGTCAAACATTGATTTTATTTCTGGAATTATGAAAAAAATATAAATGTACTTAAATGTACATTTATGTAATTTATTAAATGCACTTAAAATAAAAAGCAATAAGTAGGTGTAAATTTGCATTCTTATCTCCGCCTGAAAACTCAAGGGAAAGATTCTCTCCCACAATTACTTGTTTACGTCATTTCACTGAAATCACAATACATCATGCACACCATCCTGCTGAATGGACTTTATATTACAATGTAACATGATCAGATGACTGAAATCAAAATGTGGGGAGACTTATAGACATTTTTCTGTTTGTTATGAGAACTAGTAACTTCAAGTTGTGAAGACTTTTGACTCTTTTTGTTCTGTTCTAGCCAGGGATTTGTTCATGCTGCAGTAATTAAAACAAGCAAGCCTTTCAAAACATCTATCATTTAAAAAAGTTTCTAAGTTCCCTTAGAAGCCTTAGAAACAGTAAGGTCAATAGTGTTCAAATAAAACAAGCTTTTTTTTCATTCATACCTTTAATTTTTCTTCTCCTTCTGGTATCTGTATGTCCACGTTGACCCATTCCTTGCTAGTCCTTACAGTGGTTTCCCACAGGGCATGTTCTTTCTGTACAAGGTAGAATACGATTATGAGGATAATTTTGGTTTCTCACTATATTATTAACACTGCTTTTTATCCTTGGTCTTCTCATTCCTAGCCAGACCAGTACCATATACATACTCTCTATAAGAAGAAATAAACTTAACTTACTCATTTCCAAACTTTTCATTGGACTCCACAGGAAAGAGGAGAAAACAAGATATTTATACTGTGATTAACCAAGTTAATCACATAATCAGCAGGAGGCATCTCGGTAGAACTAAAGGTTCTGTATATTACTGTGTAAATTAAGCCTTGTTTCTGCTAGATACAGCAATGCATTTCCAAAAATATATGTAGCTTCATTGAAACTGAGGGCAAAGATTTCAAAGACATTAATGAAAACAGCCCTGACTCTCTCAATATTAGTTTCTTTTTTTATAGCTAATGAAATATATTAAGTTGTATTATCTGTAGATTTAGTTTTCTTACTTGAAATTGAATTTTTGCTTGGTCAAAATTACCCAATAAACTGTGCTGAAAATTGTTTTGTTAATTTATAAAACAAGTAAAGAGTATTAACCAGCAAGCCCTTATTCCGAACTACTTCAAGCTCTATTTTAACTCCAGCTCCTGAGAATAACTCCATCAAGAGTGTTGAAAAAGAGCAAGAGCACTTTATGCAGGCTCTCTGGGCCATTTTGATTCAATAGCCTGATGAAAAGAAGCTCATGCTTGTTCTGTTTCTGATCACAATAGGAAGTGGACAATGCAAAGATATAAAGAAAAGAAATGCAGCAACATAAACCCTAAATAAAACCCTTTCAGGAATCAGTTCCAGTATAGTATAAAGCCAACAATGCAGGAAACGTAATAAAAAACCCCTTTCATATAAGAAACATCTACAAACAGACTCATCATTACAGGAGTTAATAATGAGACTTCTTTTATGACACTGTGCCAAGTATTGGTCAAATCTTTTCACAGGATATTACAGAATTAGAAGAGGTTTAGAAAAAGATAGGAAGCAGAATAATAGTTTCTTGTGCAGAGATAAATTGAAAGGATGGAGATGTTTATCTTATATGAGATAAACAGAAGGAGTATAAGTATATGGAATATCATCAATGCAAGAGATGAGGACAGCTTTCTTTTCCTGCCTTGCAATACAAAAAAATAAAAATAAAAAGGAAGAAGATGCCATCCACTATATGCCTAACAGATCTGAATGAATACAGCAATAATGATATGCTTAGTGACTAATAGGACTAGTACTCCTCTTCCAGGAGCAACTAGGTTGCAAGTGTTATGACTTCTTTTCAAAGCTAAAAGTCTCTTTTGAGCAAGTGTTCAAAGATCAGCTTTACAAAACCACAGACCAGGCCAAGCCAATGACCCARTTCTAAGCACTGAGTAATGGAAATGATCAGAATTGGATAAACCACAGGGCATACGTGATTGCAGAAATACATCAGCTGTGAGCCTCCTCATGCATAGTAGGATGGGTTTCTTCACTTCCTCTTTTGATTGATAGTCGACGTAAGGCTTTCGTGAAGCCTGTCACATATGCTTTATTCTGCATAAAACTCACTTCATTTCACTGTAAATTCAGCTTCCCTAGCAAACCTATTATTGATATTAGCCAACAATTCCCAGTATAAAACATAGAAGAGGATTTTATACTAACAATCAGAGTAAAAATCCTGTGGTTGGTTCTAAAACAATGCTTTTAGATATGCTTCGGTTGATATAATTGGGCACACAGACATTCTCCCCACACTTATATGCACACGCTCTCCAGACACATTTGCATATCTTATAGGGATAATGTAAATGTACAGTTTCTTTAATTGGGTGTGGTTGGATGCTGTATAATTCTGATGATACGCAAATAACTTTGCTAAGCACTCCTCCACACCACACTACACCACACCATGGCAATATTTCTTCCCAACTTATTTATACAACACTAGCTTGAGGGGGTAAACCAAGTTTTCTGTATGCTTGCCAGTATTCAAACTTGCTAGGGCTCTTTCTTACATTAAAAGCAATCTCGATTGCATCAATTTCTTTAATAGCTATTGTATTAAATAGGATTTTATACTGCTCCAGTGAGCCCATAATATCATTTTTCTCCTGCTGTCAATGTTTTCTCTGTAGAATTCATCCTGCTTTAGGCTTCTTTCATTCTTTCATTGCTGGGTACAGATGGGTTAATCCCTCTTGTTATTTTAACACATTCCTCACTTTTCTAGCCTTCTTTTAGAAAGCTCAATGTATTTCTTTTTCAGTACTATCTCCTGAGATTTATTTGCATGATATATATATCATATAGCATCATATAGGGTGATATTTTAATAATATCATRACTCTATTTCTTTTCTTGCAATATAATATCAACAAAGATTTTTTTTTGTGAGGCTAAATTGGGCAAGAATTAACATATACATTATTTATTCTTGCAATGTTCATTACAGTAATGCTCCTCAAATTTGAAGGGTGGAAGAAAGAAGCACTTTTTTTTCAGCTTCATTTGTAAAATACAGAATTTACTATCTGACATGAGTGCAACTGCACTCATCATTTTGTCTCTGCTTCTTTCATTTCAGCATGTAATCTGGAACAAATGCTTATTTCTGATGATTAATGTATCACCTTTCACTTCTTCTGCAGTGGGGTATACTTTCATTGTTCAGGAATTACTGTCAAACACCTATAGGAATTTTAGTGCAGTTCAGTGGGTACAAATACACTTGTGCATATAAACACATGATGAAGTTATCTTTTATTCTGTATTTTAGTCTTTTGCAAGCCATACAAGATAAGAAGGAAGCAGTATAAGCCAATGGGAGGAATGAGGAAATAAATGTGATAGATGGAGGTCAACAAAACCTGCTTTGGTTTTCACAGAAAAGTTTAACATTAATCAGTTGTTCAARACAGCTAATATTGCCAACAGTGAATGCAAACACAGACCAGAACAGAAAAATAATTTAGAAAATTCATAGACCAGAAGTACTGAAACTTGAAAATAATATCGAATATCTTAATAATTAACTTTGAGAACCCAGGAAAAAACATGTGGGAGRCAAAAACTGAAAGAACAAATAGAGAAATACATTATGGATAAGGGAAAAATATAGATTATGTAATTATAGCCCAATCATCTGAAAGCTGGTAGCTCATAATACACTAGAACAAATTGTTAACAATAATCTTGTAAGCAGCTAGAGAATTACAAAGTGAGAAAAAAATTTTAATTACTTCTGATTGGGACAAGCTAGTGTACTGTCTTTATTTCTGATGTAGTAAACAGCTTTGAAAAAATAGGAGCATTATTTTGAGTAATAACCTGTCATTGACTGTCAGCCTCCAGGATGGCAGTCCCCTGTCCTCCAAAGTGAGAGACATTAAGATTTTCCCTTGTTTCTGTAGCTTCACTACCTAAGTTCTGGTTCTCCTTCCTTTGGGTTAGGTTGAAGAAACTCTGGAATGCCTGGGAGCTTTGGGTTTTGAAGCTTCCAGCAAAGGTTTATGTTTCTAAAGAGTTTTCTGCCGTATTTTGCAGTATGATGCAGACTCTAAAAAACCTACATGCAATAAGTACTCTTTTGACTGAAGGGGAAATTCAGTAACTAAAACAAAAGGATAAGAGAATTTGTGAAAACAGCACAGACTGAGCTGATATTGCCAAAAAAAAATTTTTTTTAAGTACTTCTAATGCATATCTRTGGAGTTATAGAAAGTATTGGCAAGCACAGATCCCTCTGCATCTGACCCTGACATAGTAATGTGGAACAGAAGAACAGAGCTATTCCCTTTTTCTATGTGAAACATGAGCAGCAGCCTATTTCATGACTCYTTGAAAATGCTGTGGGAGAGAAAAAAGGTGTTCCCATTACCTGTTACTATGTTTAAATCTATTTATAGTTTCCTATCTCAGTCTTGTTTGTATCCCGGTTTTCAGAGTAAAGTATGAAATGGGTATGTCTTTCTAAACATTAGTGCTCCTGGGTGACAAGGATTTAATTCCCAACTCAAAATATGAGCCATTAAGTTAATGAGACCAGCTGTACTACTCTTGCTCTCATTAAGTAACTGTACAGTAGCATCAATATTAAGTTATTAAGCAAGGCTTTCAAAGCATAAGTTTTAACAGTAGAAAGCCTCCACAGCACGAGAGACATAAATGTAATGGAAATAGTKACCAATGTTGAACCAGTGCATGTGTAATAGTTTGTCTTGTTCATTTTATCTGCAAAGCTGTGTTCATTTTATCTGCTAACAGGTAGAAGAACATGAAAATTATTGTTCTAAAACAGTGGGCAAAGCAAGTCAAAGGCCCAAACAAGAGCCTTCCAGACATATCAACCCAACCTCTTTCTTCTATTCCATGTCTCCCCATATGGGACCTGCACTAGCAGACATATTGCCTTGGAGCCCAGGTCGGAAGAGCTGGCTGCCATAGCTTCACAATCTGGAGATKAGGACATGTTTTGTCTTACCTGGTCAGTATATAGCACTGTCTTGAGAGTGCTGCCTTCTSCCATGGAGTAATGAAATTGAAAATGGCAATTCTTGCCAAGGCAATGACACATGGAGCTGTTAAGATAAGCACTTTTGTATAATATGTTGTTGTCGGCGTCCACCCACACAAAATGGCCTGAAAAAGAGAACAGTACACACTTTTACAGAAAAATGCATGTTTTGTGCCTCAGTCCTTAAAAACACCACTACTGCTCTTTTTGGCTCTGGCAGACCACTGCCCTTTTCCCTTAAACAGAGGAATTTGACTGTCATGCTCAGGACAAGACTTAGGCATTCTCTATGCATTTCCTATTTAAAAAGAAAGGAGATATCTATCTTTATTTTCCTCACAGAGTAACCTCAGCAACCAAGAATTACATCATCTGATAGTATCTTGAAGTTGTTACATACTTCATGTGTTAAAGGCTGTGAGCAGTACACATTCAGTTCAGCCACCTTACATTTTCAATCATTCAATAGCTAATCTTACATTTATTTGGAAAATGGGCTTTCTCCTTTCCTATTATGGTTTCTAAGAAATATCTTTTTACAGTAACACTTCTGTGGACTCTTCAAAATAATAAATAAATAAATAAATATGAAGGACAGTTGGGAGGGAAACGGTTCTGCCTTACAGCTATGGGAAACGGTAACATCTCTAACATACAATGCAGTTCCTCAGTGCTGAGCTATAATTTCTACAACAAAGTGTTGGGAGCATATTGCCTTTCCATCTGAAGCAAGAAACAAACTCGGTCTATTCTTGACCTTCTGCCCCTTATGAAAGCATTCCTACAGAGATTTAAAAGAATATGCCATCCCCCCAACAGCATCTTATCTGTCACAAATAAAAATCACAAATAAGAAGGCTAGATACTTTTTATCAGACACAGCATGTCTTTTTCTTTCCCCCTTCCTTAATCACAAAATATTTTGCTATCTCCTGAAGCACCTACGTAAGACAATAAACTAAAATGGAAGAAAGTTCTTGTGTTCACATCTGTACTTGCAAACTTATCACAGATACAGATGCACTTATTATTTCAAGCTGAAGGAAAAAAGCGCCATTTCAGATGGAAAATGTCTGATTTTGTAAGGTACCACATGCTTTTCCTTTTAATGCTACTTTACTGTTCATCTTATGTGATATTTAAGCCTGAAATGTGTGCTTGCAATTTCATTTAAATTAGGTTTGTAATTTCATGCAATAGATGCTAATGTAGATATAAAGGAAATATTATGGAATAACCCAGTATTCTATTCTACTTAAAGAAATTAAAAAGCTTCTATGTTTCTATGGCTCCCAAGTTCTGTAGGAGATAAGTATACATTAACACCAGCATTTGCAGTATCTGTTCTTCATCTAAATTTAGAATTCTCTAAATGATGCTTTCATAAAAATCAGTACAAGTTTTTGTTTTTTACTGAATCTGTGCATATGCATCTGCTAAATCTCATACCTGTAAGTGATCTTGGTTTTTCTAGACTGAAACTTGGAAACATTTCAGTACTTTGCAATACATTTTCTAATGATAAACATAACTATTTTAACATTTTAAACATTATTTCCAATAACTTCCAAAAATCCTGAAAAATGTTTCTATGGTTATTTTTATGTACTGAGAGCTGTCTCAAATGAAATCACTCACACTGTGTAAATTTAATGTTTGCCTAAATGATACCAGAACTTAAATCTTATCCAGTGTTAAATACAACTACTAGCCGTGTTGTTAGATTTTCCTTTAAGAGCTCAGGACTAATATTATTTTCTGTCTTTCATTTTAAGTTCCTGAATCTTTAGAAATAATGGAATTGGCATACATTTTAGATAAGAAAGCAAATGAACAGCAATAGGCAAATGAAAGTTCTATGAAACATCCAGAAGGGTCACATGTCCATGAGGGAATCTTTTCTGCTCCCAGGAGAAAAACTTTGTACAAATATTAGGAAAACATCTGAAAATAAATGGAAGCCTGTCTTTAGAAATGAAGATTCTAGATACTCTTCTTTTGCACATACAGGCCTTTTTTCTTTTTTCCTGATTATAGCCTGCATAAATAGAAATATGTCAGTGTAACTAGACAAGCAATCAACTACCCTCTTCTCTCTTTCGGGAAAACAGATTTGTTACCCTTAGCCAACATCTTTTGAGCAGATTTTTAATGATTAATGGTGTTATGTTTCTCTTTCCTTCGGTTTAAATTTTGCAGCTAGCTCTTTGCTAAAGGTCTAAATTTCCCTCAGTTCAAGACACTGTATATTGTATTCCTGTGTTTCTGATCTGAACTTGATTATGCATTGTCCTGCGAATTTTCAAATCTTTCTTTCTGAAGTGCCAAACTTCCCTTTTCTTTCAGAAGTAGAAAAAGAGCTCCAGGAAGGTGATTTCATTCCTGCAAAGGTGGTAGTAGGTTATCAAGTGGCAGTGTTGTATATGCTTCTGGTAAGATTCATTCTTCATTCATTCACTTTTCTTTACAGAAATCAACCAGCAGAGGCTGGGACTGCTGCCAGAACAAAGAACATAGACTTTCATATCATCCCATAAAGCCTTTTTCTTTTTCCCCTGTGGCTGCTTAATCAGACTTTTAGATGGACAGTCTTGTTTCCTTCAGCTTTAGAGAAAAATATTTATGTTGTAAGCAAAATCTTTGAGTCTTCCAGAAAGATCCATCCGAACTGCAATGGAGCTCAACTGAAATATTAAAATTTCTTTCTGAGATGGTCCTGTGTCTTCCAAGACCTGGAATGGTCTGACAGTCCTACCCGCAGTCTGCTACTCTACATATTTAACTGCCAGCTGATCAGAAAATCAGCCATTTTCTGATTCAAATCTTTGATTTCTCTTTCTGGTTTAATTCACAGTCTTTTAGCTCATAAGATGCACAACTTTCAAGCTATGTTACTAGTTTCAGAGTAACAAGTAACCCTTAAATTAAGACTGAGCCACAAAATCAGTCCTTTCCTTTTTTTGGCAAGTTCTCTTGCCCAGCAGCCAATTATCTCTGAACCAGTCTCCCACAAACTTCCCACTCAGTCATTTTGAGAGAAGAGGAGGTCAAATATGAGCTTTTTTTTCTTTTTCTTTTTTTTTTTTTTAATGTTTAGCATTGAGTGACTTTCATCATTAAGTGTCTCTGATATGTTTGGTTTAAAAGGCAAGGATTTTTTTTTTTTGTATCTTCTAAGAAATATTTTTCTTATGCAGAAAATTGCTTTCATTAGTTTCCTATATCTGGAGTAACGTTTATGTAAATTAGATAAATCCAATATAAGAAGAATGAAATATGAAAACTACATAAATAGAAATTTTAAAGCCTGATCTGAACAGCATTAAGGGAGAATATAAAATCTCTGTAAGAACTTTTAACACTAGAGATATTAAGAGGAAAAGTTACAGAGAAAATTCCTACAAGACAACACTGGAGAAAGGAAGAAATAAATGAACAAAAATGTCATCCAAGGACAAGAGGTATTTTATAATTTTAAGAATACCACAAAAGGAGGATTATATTTATAAAGAAAGGAAAGCAATCCTTTCTTTATAAATATAATTATCTAGACCTCTGCTTCACAATTTAGTTTCTCACTCCTCTCCTATTTATTGCAATTGAAAGCTTTGATCAAAATCAGAAGCAAAGCTTAATCAAGTTCTATTTGCATTGCAAGTTTGAGCCTTCAAGCATGGCATTTTTGAGGTTTGCATACCATTTCCTTACTCTTTAGAATTTTAGTCCATTGGTCACTATACAAACTCTTCATTTATGACTTCACAAAATTGTATGCAAAAACCTGATTTTATTGAGGAGAATTGATTACTTTAGGAGGAGAATTGATTACTTTAGATTTCTTTCTTTATTTTTTCCCAGCATTAACAATGAACTAATTTGTATATGCTGTTTTGATATTTTTTCTTTGTTCTCACATGCTGCTTTTCCTTGATGATGTGGAAGCAGAGGGACTATCCCCAGGCAGTTGTTTTGTATTGTGTGTCCAGACTACTGAATTATCAGTGCATCTTACGTTCTGTTTCAGCAGAGATTTCTTGTAACTTGATACTGTGCAAGCTAGTTTCAGAATTCAGGGTCTTTTTAATTAGTACAATAATGCTATAGAGGAGAAGTTCATTACCATTGGTAGCCCTTCAAATATTAGCAGTGAGGCAACATGTTCCAGAGAACTACTGAGAATAAGTAATTGATCATAGTAACAAAGAATTCTTCCTTCATCAGCTGTTTGGGGAGAAATGAAAGGATGTTGAGACTTTTTTTTAAAGATGAGGTAAAAAGCATCTGTCCTATATGCCCTCTCTTGTATATAAGAAGTGTTAGCTTGAAAAAAAAACATTTTAAGAGCATGTCTAACACTTTATAACTTTTGCTTAGTATCCCATTGTAATTTGGCTTACAGTTATCAGGCATTTTGGAATACATGCTAAAAATCTAATGAAAACATCTCTGAAAACAAAATACCTAATGGCTTATTCACTTAGGCTGCCATCAGCGAGATAAACTCCACTTCTCTGGGCTCAGAGTTCAAGCAGTAATCATTGTGCTATCAGTTCTTGAAAGCTACATCACAAATTATACCATTACAACTAGTGCTACTTAACCTCTTTGAAGGCAGTCTCAATAGACACACCAAACACTTAGTCAATATGGGTATTCCATTTCATGTTAGAGCACTTGCACATTTATATACATTAAGCTTTCAAAAACCTTTCCCATAAACCTGTAGACAAACACTACATAGTGGCTTTAAAAAACAAGTGCTGCATTTTATTCTGAAAATTGCAGTTGCATTATTTTGTTTTGTTTTTTAGAGTAATTAACTAATCTGTATAGTAAATGTTTTTCTCCAGCTTACCTAATTAAAGATTTAAAGTGAAATTATGGAGGATATGCTTAAATATGGTAGCACTTTGGTAGCACAAGTAGTGCTACCAAACATTAAAAACAAAGCAAACACCAGGGCTGTCAACTTAGACAGATTTAGTTTAATTTCACCACAGAATCACAGCAGACACTTTACAGAAAGGATTAACTGGAGAGTAACCCAGTGACTAGCATATATTGAAACTTGAGCATCAAAATCTTCCATGTTTCATCAGCACATGTATTCACACTTACTAAATATTCACAATAAAAGCCCACTGAAGTACAAAATGCATTCAATTACTTTTTATATTTTTGTTCCATTTCCACATTGAATCCATACCTTTCCTAAAAAGTACCATATTATTAAAGATAACTAATAAATATGCATTAACTTATGGTTCTTACCTTCACTATTGTTACTTTCATCTTCTAGAAAGGAGCGGTAGGCAAGTTTATGTCCTTCTTGTAGGTGGACCCATGTTGCGGGCACAGCTGCTGGATCTGAATTCCATTCACACACATCAAGCTCAAAACTGGAAGCCTGCTGTGCTAAAAGGCAAAGCAAAGTAATCGTTCAACTTCTTAAAATGCCATTATTTATGAAACTATTTCCCATAAGAAACATGCTCAGTTGACGACTTGACAAGCCCTCTATCTTTGGTTACCTCAGAAAGTGCAGTCTACCAGCAAGTGTATCTGATATTCAAGGATCAGGATTCAACTGTCATTACAGATTCCATTTTAGAAAATCCTTCCCTAAAGATGGATTTTTTTTTTCAGAGCACCTTGTTGGTATTTGTGCTGGCCAGTCATTATATCTATTGTGAATTCACTTCTATACAGCGGGTTCCCAGGAGATATGAGAAATGACATGTAATCAAAAGAAATATCAATTTATCTTTCTGGTTATGATAAAATGAGTTCTGACTGAAAGATTACACTCAACATCACATTCTTAATATTTACAACAATTCTCCACTTTTGAACCAAAAAGATGTGAATATATTACCTCATATTCTCAAGAACTTCTCTAAGTTCAACATGACAGAATGTAGCTGCAAGATTTCATGTAATTAATAAGTGCTATAGGAAGAAAGTCATTATTTTTAAATACTATTTCCATTATGATAATGAAGGTTCCATTTCTTAATATTATTAAAGAGGGGAAAAAATCTAATGGTTAATATATATTTTTTTTCTAAAGCAGCCAGAATATCTCAGAAAACAAATGAAGATTCTTAACTGTTTGGGTTTTTTTTTTTTTTTTTGAGAAAATAATCATACACATTACTTTCTACGCAACTGGAGTTATGTGTTTCGCACTATTGCTGTCTCAGGGAAATGTGACTTACCATTCCTCCATAACAAGCAATTCAGGGAACAAAACAAATACCTCATTCTTCCCTCTCATATTCCACTTCTCTGCCTAGGGACATTTTGCCTTATCTCTGTCCAAGATCAGAATTGAAATCTCTACAAAATAATTGTATATATAGTTTCTTTGTATATATAATTTCTCAGAAATCAAGAGGGAGCTATGCAGAGCCATCATAGACACTTGGATAAGAATATAAAACTTTTAAATAGAAGATCTGCTAAAGGCATAATTATAAGATATTTTGCATCAAATATGTTCTAGAATATAACTTCTATTTGACACCTGAAATATTTTTTGTTGTTGTCGTTTTACAGTACATGAAGGTTCATACAGTAAAAATCTATGTTCTAAATCATTAACAAAACTACAGAATGTCTTAAATCATTACAATACTGTAATAAAGTAATTAAAGATAGCTTTATTAAATATGAATAAAATATATTGTTTAGCAGGGCTGGACATGTAGCTAAAAGGGTCCTTTTTTGTTTTGTTTTGTTATTTAGGAGCAGGGGGAAGGAAGAGATGAAGGGAAAGAAAAACTTATACGTGAACAGGTCATTTCATACCTATATTAATAATGGGAATAGAAATCATGAAGCATTCATGAAAAAAAGCAAATTTTAATAACATGCAATTAGAGCTGTTTTCATTTAACACCCTCTTATGCAGATATTTCATAAAGATTACAGAAAAAAAAATCAAGTAGCCATTAATCGGTTTTAATTACTGAAAAAAATGTTCTCAATAAAATACCTCTTTGGGGAGAAAATTAAGATCTTTTGACCCTGTTCTTTGGCTGCTGTGAGATGCTCAGATGTCACCTAATAACATTGACTTCACCTAATATATAAGCATAGGATAGAGATGATAAAAACTTGTTCTTATTAAGGCACATTTGAGGTTCTTAAGAATACTGCAATAAGGCTATCTAGATGTCACACTTTGTATACCAAAAACTTCCATTTAAGGTAATTTTAACACATAGATGTGGTCTTAATGCATTCTGCTGAATAAATGAGGTTTTTTTTTTTTTTTTTTTTTTGACTTCTCCCTCTCTTTGAGATATCATAGAATCATGCAATCAAAGAATTCTTAAGGTTGAAAAGGACCTCTAGAGATCATCTAGTCCAACCTCCCTGTACACACAGGGTCACCTAGAGTATGTGGCACAGGATTGCATCCAAGCAGGTTTTTAATATCTCCAGAGAAGGAAATTCTACAACCTCTTTGGACAACCTATTCCAGTGCTCTGTCACCCCCATTGTCAAAAAAATTTTCCTTAAGTTCCTGTGGAACTTTAGATGCTTCAGTTCATGACCATTTCCTCTAGTCCTATCAGTGGACACCATTGAAAAGAGGCCAGCCCCATCCTCCTCACTTCAGGTATTTATAGACACTTACATAAAACGTGGCCCTTCCTGGCCATGAGGGAACACTGCTGCCTCGTGGTCAACCTGTTGTTCACCACGATGCCCAGGTACTTCTCTGCAGAGCTGTTCTCCAGCAGGTCAGTCCCCAGCCTGTACTGGTGTCTCGGGTTATTCCTCCCCAAATGCAGGACCTTTCACTTTCCCGTGTTGAACTTCATGAGGTTTCTCACTGCCCAGTTATCTAGTCTGTCCAGGTCCCTCTAGATGGCAGCACAGGCCTCTGGGGTATCAGCTACTCCTCCCAGTTTTGTATCATTAGCAAACTTGTTGAGGGGGCACTCAGTCCCTTCATCCAGGTCATTAACAAATAAGTTGAACAGGACTGGACCAAGGACTGACCCTTGGGGGACACTGATAACTACAGGTCTCCAACTGGACTCCGCACCACTGACCACCACCCTCTGACCTCTGCCATCCAGGAGTTCTCAATCCACCTCACTGTCTACTCATCTATCCCACACCTTTGGAGCTTTCTCAGGAGGATGCTATGAGGGATAGTATGAAAAGCCTTGCTGAAGTCCAGATAGATGACATCCACCGCTCTCCCCTCATCTATCCAGCTAGTCGTTCCATCATAGAAGGCTATCAGGTTAGTCAAGCATTATTTCCCCTTGCTGAATTCATGCTGGCTACTCCTGAGTCTTGTCCTCCATGCACCTGGAGACAGCAGCCAGGATGAGCTGTTCCATCACTTTTCCAGGGATGGAGGTGAGGCTGACTGACCTGCAGTTGCCTAGGTCCTCCTTCTTGCCCTTTTTGAAGAYCAGCATGACATTGATTTTCTTCCCGTCCTCAGGCCCCTACCTCATTCTCCAGGACCTTTCAAAGATGATGGAGAGTAGCTTAGCAATAGCATCCACCAGCTCACACAGCACTCTGGGGTTCATCCCATCAGGGCCCATGGATTTGTGGGAATCAAGTCTCCCTAAGTGCTCTCTGGCCTACTCTTCCTCTACCCAGGGCAAGTCTTCCTCTCTCCAGGCTTCTTCTCTTGTCCCTAGGGTCTGGGTTTTCAGAAGGATGCCCTTGGTAAACACTGAAGCAAAAAAAGCATTCAGTAACTCTGCTTTTTCTGTGTCTTTTGTAACCAGGGCATCCACCCCGTTCATCAGTGGACCCACGTTTTCCCTGGTCTTTTTTTTGCCATTGATATATTTGAAGAAGTTCTTCTTATTATTTCATCTATCTATATTCTATATTATTATAATTATTCTATATTATTTCATCTCTGTACTTGATGCTGTTTTCATTTTTATTTGCTTTAGAAGCACTTGTTTATGAAAAAGCCAACATATTTGAATATATATGTATATATATATATATATTCACCTGCAGGAACTGGTTAAGCAAGCATATCAGTTGACAAGATCTAGCAATGCTTTTTTTCCACTTTCTTTTTATCTGCAAGAATCCTCTGAGGAACAAAGAGGAGCTGGGGAGAAATCACCCATCTGCATTGATGTTTTCACTGTCAGTTTCAAACTCATTTTTCAAAAAAGGTACACTCTAAACTAACCTTACTTTACAGGCAAGTATGCTAAAGTTTTAAATTAGCATCCTTTCACTTTTTACTAGTACTGCTAGAAAGACACTACAAAATAGAAAAGGAAGAAATTTATATAAGCATATCACTTTTATTCCCATAATTCCCCATTGCAAGAAAGGTGAAACATGGAGAGGTTTATATTAGCAAATTTACTTACCTGAAATTTTATTTCCCTAAAATATATTTATTTGAAATAGTTATATCTACAGCCCTGAATTTTCAGGCTAAGCTTTGTATTTTGGTTTTACTGCAATCTGCCTATAATTCCTCAGCACTCATAATAATGATTGTGTGCATCTATTCGTAACAGTACTTCCCAGTAGGATGTCTAAGAACCTCTAGTTTAGACTATAGCGTACAAAGTTATGTGTTGAATCTTGAAGAGTCTGCGTCAATGGATTCCGTACCTCATATTACCATAGCAAGCTAAATTTAAGACTCTCAACTGGGGAAAAGAAAGAGGATGTTTTGCATCACACTAACCTTATGTGGTACCATGTGTGCCACTGTACAATCTTGAGTACTTGAGAGCAATGAGAAATCTAAATGCTAGAACGGTCTTCATGTTTTTCCCATGAAAATACAGTGAGTTGAAAAAAAAAAAAAAAAAAAAAGGAAAATGTGAAATGCTTTGCTGAAGAAACTTGACACTGCAGCTGTTTGGAGATAGTGGAACAGAACAAAGTGTCTCCATTCCGGCTGAGGACCAGGACCTTCAAGCATTTAAAAAACACACACAAGTGCCTTGGGAATTTTCATAAAGTTATCTCCAAAGCTTTTCCAGAGCCAGCTGAATACATTGATTCTTTGGTAAAGAACAGTATATATTTTCTGCCCGCTGAGGATTTTGTACTCTTTTAGCCTTAGGAAGTTCCTAATGCATTTGTACTATACCAGTTTTCTGATAGTAGTGTTCTTTGCAATTGTATTTATGTGTAATATGACAGCTGATGGTTTAGAGGAATGAAAATAAAGCACATGGAAACAATTACAGGGCTAAGAAAGCTTTCAGTAGCAGATTTGCCTTTGTATTCTCTCAAGAGAATCTCTCAAGAATCAAGGCAAAAGACAGAATAAAATTATCTGTCTACTGAAAAAAAAAAAAAAAAAAGAGAAAAAGAAATTCTTACCAAATTCTGGAAAACATCCTTCACCAAAAGAAATATCATCAACGGCAATAGTTTCATTTTGTCTCTGCATCTCTACCAGCCCCCAAAAAATAACCTGCAGAGTTTAACAGCAGATCAATAGTAAATTATATTCACCAGCATCACAGAGATATTCCAAGATTCTCTAGGCATTCAAAATCATATATACACATTTTACATGTACACATGTACATATTGAGACTTAGAGAGAGAGCACAAAAGCTAATTCATACAGTTAGCATTAGAAATATGAGAACACAAATCATACACAACAGTTTTGGAGGACTAGCATCTGGGCTTTCTGCACACATCTGTGACTTGTCAGCCTAGATATTTAGCCTAATCTTCTGTCTAAATCAAAAATGAAATTGCATTTAACTGAAAGGGTCTCTTGGAAACCACAATAAAATACATTAAAATCTAAGGCAGGATCATGATAATTACCATACAGAAAGAGTTTGTGTATTATCAAGCCATTCTTCTATCAGAGACTGGAAATGTGAAATTTTGTTGTTTTTTCCAGAATTTAACAGACAGATATAAAGCAAAATCAAGACAACATACAGCAATCAGACACAATCTTTTCATCAGCTTGTTTTTAAATAAATTGGACTTTGAAACGGACCCAGATTGAAAAGTAAAATTCAACAGTCATTTTGCTCTAACACTATGAGAATCCTCTCCCATCAGAATCTTCCATGTAACTAAAGTTACTAGTATTTTACATTTTGTCTTTGGGGCAAGTTGTTATCTAGACTACTTTGCAAATGTGGAGACTAACCCATTTTGTCTGCAGTGAAGTAAAAAGTGGCTTGAGGGAACAACTTTGGAAAGTAGGGGCGATTCTAACTACCTAACATTAGAGATAAATGTGGGTATACTGTAATTCAAAGCATGAAAATTAGCCTCTTGCTCTGAACTCCCTTCTTTCTTCATGGACTATTGAAAAGAGTTTCTGAAGTCCAGCCTTTTCAGGAAATGGAATGCCTAGAAATCAAACATACAAATAACATTTTCTAAATTATTCCAGAGCCTTGTTTTGATATGTTACAGTCCTAGTCTCCCAGAATCCTGGAGGCATAAAACTAAGAGTCAGATTTTGCCTCTTAGTATATTTGGGTGCAGGATAATGCTAGATAATAGTGTCAGACATTAAATTTATGGTTAAGTAGCGATTTTGCAAACGGGTTAAGTGTGCAAGATCATACCCAGAAAAAAAAAAAAAAAAGATTTATCCCAGAAATTATTATCAACTAGAGAATGATATCTACAGTACAGGATTATAATATTCAGACAAGGGGATGACCACTATGTTTCTGTCTTACTTCAGGGAAAGAAATGTTAACTGACTCCTGAAACCCTGAACAAGAGTATCTTCTTGTTGGGGGGAGGGGTCTCCTGTTTTGGAGTCTCTCCTCTCCTCTCCTCTCCTCTCCTCTCCTCTCC